AAATATTAACATTGATAAACAAAAACCCTTGTTAATTATTTAAACAGCGATTTTGTTTTGACTAGCAAAGAATAATTTAGGAAAGAATATTTTTTTAAATTTATCTTGCTTAGCGTTTATATAAAAATATAAAAATGTTTTGTCTGCTTTTAGCATATTTTTGATACATAGTTTAGAACGCGTTCGCCAGGAATTTAATTCATAAATTCCTGGCGAACGCGTAAAATGTAAAACATTTTTACAATAAAATTTTACATTAAAAATGTAAAACATTTTTACAATAACATGGCGAACGCGTAAAATGTAAAACATTTTTACAATAACATTTTTACAATGTTATTGTAAAAATGTTTTACATTTTAAACAAATCACAAAGAAACAGAGCTATAGAGAAAAATCGTTTTTAACGATTAAATCTTTTTTTTTTAAATTTTAGGAAATTAAAAAAAAATTGAATTAAATGTAAAAGTCTTAATTATGCAAACTCTTTTGTTAATTATTCTTAAAACAAAAAACAAATCCTTCTCCGCAAAACTTTAATCGTGCAAACTTAAAAAAATACTAAACTAAAATAATATAAGTACATTTAATAATTTGAATCGTATCTGTTTATAATAAACGTTCGTAAAAATTTATTTATTAAAAATTAAGTTCCTTAACTTATAAACAAATTCAAAAGTATTTTCATTCTACGTATAATAAGAAAAAGAAAAAAACTCTTTTTTTTTTCGTTTGTAGGCAATTTAACTTAATAAAATAAAAAAAGAATAAATGTGAGGTAATCTTTGTTAAGAACAAATTTAATTTATTTATTAAACTATATTTTTATTTTTATTTATACATCAACTTAAATTAAATATAGTAACATGTTAAAATATTTTAACATGACTTGTGTTATTTATAAATCGTAGGGCAGCTGCCCTTTTATTTTGATGAAGATCACATAACTTACATTTGATTTTAATAACGTAAGTCTTCTCTTTTTCTGTAATAGTTTCAATTAGAAAAGCATCGGCAAAGTCCCAGGATTTAAAAGTTTTCAAAGGAAATCTTTTGTCCTTTAAAATACAATCCATATTCGAACTTTAAACAATTTAGAGAGAAAAGAAATAAAAAAGGTTTTTATATACTAGTTTGTCTTATTTTATACAGAAAAATACATAGTCATTAGTAAAAAATAGAGACTGTCATTAAACTAAAAAACGTGTCAGTATTTATTTAACAGAGTCTGTAATGTGCGCGTGCATAATGAAACCTCCATTATATAAATATATTCAACGTAATATTAGTGTCATCAGCGGATGTTATAGTCTACTCGTGATTTCTTTACCTTATAATATAACTTGATTTATGAAAAAAAATAATTATTATTTATCGCACGCAGAAAATTGTCTTCATTCAAAAATTGCGAGTAACAGGTAATTTTTTTTTTTATTCTGGCCCCCTCCCCCCGCATAACTTAAAGGTAAAGGTACCTTTAACTAATAAGAAAAGCAAAGAGTAATAATTAATGAAGTAATTTTTAGTACAATACAAATAGATTGTTCATTCATTGGCACATTTTTTTTATCTCGAAAAAATGTCTTGATATTTTTGTTATCATGATAACAAAAATATTAAGACGTTTTTTGATATATTAAAAAAATGTCAACCCTTAATTACAAATTTTTTGCAAATGTTTTTTAATATGAATTTAGTAAAAAACTCTTAAAAAATTTATATTACAAAAAACATTTATATTCTGTATCAATAAGTTTGAAATATAGATTTTTAAAATGTTTTTTACTGAAAACTTTAAAAAGTTACTACTTTTTATTAAAAACATTTGCAAAAAATTTGTAGTTAAGGATTGACGAACAATTTTTCATGTTACTAAATATTTGAATAAAAAGTTAAGCGTAAAATTAAATGTTTTAAAAACGTATGATATGTCGCGATAAAAAGTTACTTCAATTATTTTTAACGTAATTTTTTTTTTCTAATAAATATTTTTACATATCGTTATTCAAAAATTAATGTGGTTTTTTTAAAAATTAATTACTTCTTTTATGTTACTGCTAATTTAAAAGTTAAAAAATGATAAAAAGTAGCTTAACCAAAACAGCTCTACGCGTACGTAAAAATCGCTTAAAGCGTACGTAAATCGCTCTAGGCGTAACGCTTTAAAACAAGGCCTGATATATATATATATATATATATATAATATATATAAAATATATATATATATATATATATATATATATATATATATATATATATATATATATATGTATATATATATATATATAATATATATAAAAATATATATATATATATATTTATATATGTATATGTAAGTATGTAAATATGTATTTATGTATGTATAAATGTATGTATGTATGTATGTATGTATGTATGTATGTATGTATGTATGTATGTATGTATGTATGTATGTATGTATGTATGTATGTATGTATGTATGTATGGATGGATGTATGGATGGATGTATGTATGCATGTGTTAGGGTGGGTCATGAAATTTTTTTTTAGAGTTGCTAACCTGGCCAAGAAAATTGTTTTTTTATGTACTAATTTAGGAAAGTATTTACTTTTATGGATTGAACAATGTCTTCCACCCGCAACTATAATTACAAAAATTAGCAGGCCCTATTATTATTCAAAAAAAAAGTTTTTCAAAATTATGTGATGTAGGTTCTCAAATAAAGCAAAATTTTAATTAATTTTATTATTTTAGATTATTGCATAATAACTATAGTTTTTTAACTAAAAGTGAAAAAGGTGCATTTTTACATGTTTTTTAATAACAATTATTTTCGGCAATATGATTTTTATAAAATGATTAATATTTTCGAATTTTTTATAAAATTTCGCTTCTTTTGAGTACCAAGTTGACCTACTTTTAAAAAACTTTTTTTCTCCAAAATATTAGGGTACCGGTAATTTTCCCAATAAAGTTGCGCCCTTTAAATCTATCACAATCATTCTCATATTTGATAGTATCAATATTAATAACTATTAGCAATGTTTAGAGCCTGTAACAAGAAAAAAAAATTTTATGACCCACCCTAGTATGTATGTATGTATGTATGTATGTATGTATGTATGTATGTATGTATGTATGTATGTATGTATGTATGTATGTATGTATGTATGTATGTATGTATGTATGTATGTATGTATGTATGTATGTATGTATGTATGTATGTATGTATGTATGTATGTATGTATGTATGTGTATGTGTGTATGTATGCATATATTTACGTGTGTATGTATGTGTATATGTAAATATATATATGTATATATGTTCACATATGATATCTGTATTACTTTTCATTCTTTATACTTTGAAAATAGAAATAATTTTTCTTAAATTTTGTTAATTTTATTTTGTGTTTAGTACTAAAAAAGCTTATAATGAAATGGTAGAGATAGCGCCATGTTCACGCTATGTCATTGATATCCAGGTGATTTTAATGATTTTATCTCATACTTATAAATTTTTAGCTTTTAATAAAATCTTGATAAAAATATTTTAATAAATAAAAAATATTTAAACTCAATATTAATGACTGATATGTCTAAAGTTAAAGCCAACAATTTTAATTGCATTACAAATTAGAGTACAAATTGTTTTTTTTAATTAGGAATTCATTACTTCTCTTCAGTCAGACTACTTATCTTTATATAATTGTCAAGAATTTTTAATTGAAAGGTAAAAAAAAAAAAGGTTTTCCTATTGTTGAATTATTTTTTCATCATGTTAATGATTTATTATAAAAATAATGTTTACCAAAACATTTTCTTTATTGTAAAAAAAATGTTTAACAAAACATTTTTGTTATTGTAAAAAAAATGTTTACCAAAACATTTTTGTTATTGTAAAAAAATGTTTACCAAAACATTTTTGTTATTGTAAAAAAAATGTTTACCAAAATATTTTTGTTATTGTAAAAAAAAATATTTACCAAAATATTTTTGTTTATTATAAAAAAATGTTTACCAAAACATTTTTGTTTATTATAAAAAATATATTTGTAGTAAAAAAAATATTTATTTAAAAAAATATATTTATTTGTAGTAAAAAATATATTTTTATTGTAAAAAAAATGTTTACCAAAATATTTTTGTTCGATGTAAAAAAAACTTTAACCAAAACATTTTTGTTTAGACTGGAAGCAATTGCTGCTCGAGTTTTGGAACTTTTTGTTCGTCACACATGTCTTTTGCGTAATCTATGGGAAGGAGGAAAATTAAAGTTAGCGGCTGATATGGGGCAATTAGAGTTTGCATTGTCCCCTTTCTGCCATAGAATTGGTGATTTGGGTTCATCATATAAATTATTCAGGGTGTTTCGGTAAGCATGTTTTTATAAATGCATTTTTTTATGTAATGTACACAGCAAAAAAAAAAAAAATTGGAAGCACATTGTTGCAGCACAGTTTCTTTATAAACAATATAAAAGTTTATGCAAAAGTTTTAAAATGATTTTCAAATAACATTTAATTTGCGGTATCTTTAAAAAACTAGTCCTTTTATTATTGTATTTATTACTATTTTTAGTTATTTTTATTATTATGTTTTTTTGTTTTTTTTGTTTTACTATATTTATTATTATTTTTAGTTATTTTTTTACTATATTTATGATTATTTTTAGTTATATTTATTATTATTTTTTTGGTTTTTTGTTAAAATTATAGTAAGAGTAAGTTGTTTTTAAGTACTAGGTCCCTGAAAAAACTGCACTTAACTTGATTCTTAACCCAGCAGCTATGTTGGTCAAGTTTCATGTTTTGGAGCCCAGGATGGAGAAGAGGAAAAATGAGAATAACAATAAAATAAAAAAACAATAGTCTCCTTGACAGCAGTGGCTCTTTGCACTTAAAAAAATATAAATTAGTTCTATTTTAACTTTAAACTAAATTTTTGAATAAATATAAAAATAATGAATAACCCACGCACCAGTCTTGTTAGTAATCCACTAAAGTTGTTTCTCCGCAGAACAGCTATGCTTGTCAAGGTTTGTATTTTGAGACTAAATGGTTAAGAGAGGGTTTTAGCCACCATTAAAAAAAAAAAAGTAGCCTCAATGATTCTAGTGGCCCCTGTGGAGGAGAATACAGTTAAAAAAAATTACAATGGTGCTTGTGCAAAGAACCCAATTTACTGGGTTAAGATCAAAAACAATAGATAATCTAAAAATAGATAAATATAATCTGAATAACTTTGAGAAACTAAAGTTTAGTTTAATAAAGTTATTAATTTTTAAATTTAAAATCTATTAAAGTTTTTAATTTAATAAATTACTATATATAAATAATAAAAATTTTAAAGATAAATAGATAATTTTTATTACTCAAGTTAAAAATTAGGCAATTAAATGATTATAAATTATTCTATTATTATTAAAAAATTAGTTGTATTTATTTTAACTATATATAGATTAATAATCAATATTCATATGAACTATATTATCATTAGTTTATATTAACTATATTAATGTTAATTTATCTATATATAGATATTTATCTTTTCTGAAAATATTATCTATTTTAGACCATTTCTTTTTCAAAATATTGAAGATATTCCTACAAATCCAAACCTTGGTGATAGCTTACCGTATAGTACTGCTATTCATTTTTTGTTTTCTCAGGCTCCACCACAGTTGCTTTCACCACACACAGTATGTTTCTGATTTACTTTTGTTTATTTTAAATGCTTTTTATTTTTATTTTATCTTTAATTAATGTTTATCTATTATTAAAATGTGTAAATCATCTTCAATTTAATAGCTTTTAACTTACATTAGCAACCCTCTGAATTAGTTTCGGCATAGGCAATGCCGACGTAATTGCAGACCTAAAGGTATTTGAGGTTGGCAAAATATTGCCGACCTCGTTTCTATGTTTTATGGTAAGACCTTTGTATCAAACCTTTGTATCATTTTTTTCAAATTCCGAATGTTGCATTAGTATAGCTCATGTAAGTTAAGAGCTATTTATTAGCTCTTAACTTACATTAGTATAGATTGTCAAATGATTTGGTTTAAGAGCATCTAAAAATTAACAAAATATAAATCCTAATTATCAATCATAATAAAATACATTTTTTTATGTTACTATTAATTTTTGTTTAAGAAATATTTAAAAATTTTCTCCAAGGTTGCTGGCTGGAGTATTACAGAGTATTCAGAGTGGCTTGACGATCACCATGAAGAAAGTGAGAGAATAGCTCTTATCAGGTTGTTATTTTTTATTAATTACCTGTAATGTTATCAATTTGATAAACTTTGATACTTTTTGAAAATTAATTATTCTAAAAAAAGTCATTATGTTTTTTTCAAAAAAAAAAACTTTTTTTACTCAAAAAAAAAATTAATAAAGGCAATAAAGATTTAAAAAGCAAAGCTATTAATCAAAACTGCTTGTATTTAAGTTTTGAATGATAACTTTATGTTTGGCTTATAAATTAGCAGTGGTAAACAAATTTTTGCTTGAGGAGAGGGAAATTTTGCATAAGGAGAAAGTCTGCAAAGAGCATACTTAAGTCAGGTTAGGTTATCCTGCTACTGGTAACATGTAACCCAGTACAACCTGCTTCATGTCCTGCTGCCTTGTAGGATACATATTTTTTGGGAGAAGCCAACTCTGAGTTAAAATCTGTTAGAATCTGTTTACCCCCTGTTTCGGGGATCTTGGTTAAGTAAAAGCTAGAGATGGTGTTTCGATAAAAATACTCATCTTGGGCAGATCAGAAATGCATCGGGCTACTGTCTTGTAGAAGGTCTCCTAGGCAAAGACTTAAGGAGTAAACAGATTTTAACTGTTAACCAGCCTTTTTCATCTATTAGGCTGGTGCTGATGTATTTATAATATATTGTTTGATGTATTTATAATATATTGTCATCACCAAGTTCTCTAAACCTATCATTCATTAATATTCGTGGTCTATGAAGTAACTTTTCTTCTGTTGAGTCTTATCTCTTACAAATTTCACTAGACTAACTTGCTCTTTGTGAGACTAATTTAATTTTGGCTGTCTCATCTTGTGATCTTAGTATTGATGGTTATCTTCCTTTAATTGTATAGACTTTGATAGTCATATGCTTGGCCTAAGCATTTACATTTTTAAGAATTCACCCATTTGTCGGGAAACTAGATTTGAATCCACCAACTATTCTTTAATGTGCTTTTGTTTAGCGCTACTTCATTCTATTGCCGTTGTCTTTGTTCTATATTGCTCTCCTTCATCTCAAGCTGCACTTTTTTTGATGTTATTTTTGATCAAATTGATCAAGTCCTCTCTCTTTATCGATCAGCCAATATTGTTATTGTTGGTGATTTTAATGCTCCTCACACTGAATGGCTTGGCCATAGTGTCATTGACTCTGCAGGGATTAAGGCACAGTATTTTTGCCTTTCTTAATCTCTAACTCAAATAGTCAACTTTCCAACTCGCTTTTCAGACAAAACCAATCATTTACCTTCTCTAATTGACTGATGT